CTTAGGGTTAATTGAAAGGGCTAGCGCTTGAAGGTATCCAAGCTTCAGATCTTCTAGGTGGGACTCTAATGCGTCTGGCACTGCATTGATCAACATGGAGAAAGTGCAAAATGCATCCCGTCGCCGGGTTAGGGTTAATTGAAAGGGCTAGCGCTTGAAGGTATCCAGGGTTCAGATCTTCTAGGTGGGAGCTCGAATGCGTCTGGCACTGCATTGATCAACACCGACTGCAACGATGAATTAGCAAAAGGAACTGGCGAAAGTGCAAAATGCCCCACCCCTGTGCCAAACAGCGCCCTTTTGACCTATGAGTCTGATGGTAGCAAACAATTTACTGCAAGAACCAGAAAAATAACGAGAGGATTATCGAAGGGAAATGTTTCACGGCACTTGCAGATTGCTAGTAGTACATCAAAGGAGACGATCTTCGCTCCACTTCGTAATGGTTGGACCACTGACGTCAACCTAATCAGCTTTTCCTTTGTTTGCCCGACTATTCACTGAGCAGTTAGTTGATCTAAAGGCCATGAAACGGCTACGGTTTCCCGCGGGAAGGATCTCTTAGCAAACAAGGAAGTTATAATTGGTTTTCCGCTGGTAGTACATTAGAACGGGTTTTCTAGTTGCTTCCTCACAGGTTCTGAATTATGCTGGATTTGGGCAGGGGTGTTAACAAATTAGGTGGGACCTATAGGAACCTGGTAAAGTTCCATTTTGTGTTGTTGCAGCTGCTGTAGTACACGTAATCCTGAAACGCCTTGACGTGATCGCTTGCTCATACTTAGAGTGAAAAGATTCCAGAAGCGTTTTCGATCGTCTGTTTCCCTAGATGGGCTCAATTTTTAGCTCACATCGATTGGGCAGAACTAGTACATTTGCTAACTAAATTGTTGGCTCTGGTAATGAACTCGCATCGAGGCATAGTTTTCCACTGTTTCATCATTCTGGATCATCCTTGCTGACGTTGCTATTACAGGGGAATATGCCCACTGTCCGATTGTGCAGTGACCTTTGAGTTCCAGATAGGGTAATGGCTCATTTCTGAGTAGCATCGTTGGCAGGCGGCGTACGAAAAAGACATCGCTACCTTACACCCCAATTCCAGTGCCTTTTTGAGCGGAAAAGTGACAACCTTACTGCAGGTGCGAGCCCATTCACCTCGCACATGGAAACTCCTCAAGTATACAGTTCGCCTTTGAAAGGTCTGGAGCTCGAAGGCATATGAGAGTTTAAAGGGTTCAGGAGGGAGTATTGCCGTCGAATGATCATCAAGGGCCCCTGCAACTTGATATTAGGTTGATGCATATGTTTTTAACCCCGACTTTTTTGTAAATTTGATCCTTCCGTATTTCGTTCTGCATGGATGTTGGTATTTCGTCATCACGTGTGCATGATACTCTGCATTGTGGCCTTCTTCGGGTCCCAGCCCCGTCCTTCTGGGAGGATGGAATCGACAAGCTGCCTGAGCGTTGGCGTCGAGTAGTGGATGGTGATGGTGCATACCTCTAATCTTCAGGCTGGTTCGCTATTGAGATATTTACAAAAAAGTCGGGGCTAAAAACATATGCATCAACCTAATAGAATAGGAGGATATATGATAGACAAGCGTATAGATGCGATTCATTTGTTGTGTGAAACACATGATTGATATTCCAACATCCAATTCCTCTCTAATTTAGCCACCAACAACCGTGACCGATGCTTGGAAGTCATGGAGAAAGCAAAAGACCAACATCCATGGTTTGGCATGGAACAGGAGTATACTCTTCTGGACGTCGACGGACACCCTTTCGGTTGGCCCAAGAATGGCTTCCCAGGACCCCAAGGTGAGTCTCGCACTTTCTTCCCGCTCACAACAGCGGTGAAATTCTGGCAGCTCAAGAAGTGAGTGGAGACAGGTCACAGCATGTTGGTAGAATCCCATCATGAGGGTCGTATTCCGTCGCGAAGAAGGATGGCGTCGTAA